CCACGTTGTACATAGATGCGGATTATCATAAAACCAATCTCGTGCATCCGCTTCTAAACATAAAGATACATAAAAAAGTTTTTCCTCATCTGTTAATTTAAAGATATTCATTGTTTGTTCAAAGTCTCGTAACCATTTAGCTACATTTTGTTGGAATTTGCCGGAATATTTTTGTAATTTTTCGATGTTCGTGATTAATATTTGGTTTCGTATACAATTTGTGATAGTATCTTCTGATTCCTTCAATAACATAGCGGATGAGCTAAATTTTTTTGATAAATCCGTTTTTAATTCTTCAGTATCAAAATCTTGTAAAAATTTCTTCATAAACGTAATAAAAGTTGGCATGTCATCTTGTTGTTTAATATACCAAATAAGTGCGTCACCAGTTAAAATTTCTGAAACTAATTCATTACGTTCAAGGGATGGAAGTTGTAATAAATCAAATTTTTCTATAATATGTTTTAACCAAATTTTTGGATTACCATGTCCATCAAATTTGTGTATTGAATTTAATTGTTGTTGAAGTGAAGATTGATATTTTTGATCATTTTCAGCTGATCGCTGATCATCTAAATCATGACCTAGCGACCGAGTTTTATTATTTCTGTTTAAATCAATTGTTGTTTGTGTAGAATCAATATTAAGTTGTTCAGAATTTGACATCATTAATAATGGTTGTTTTTCTTTTTTAGTTAATAAAAGTAAAGAATTAATATCTGTTTGTGTAAAATCAGTTGTAGATCGAGTAGATTTAATTTTCATCAACGTTGTCTATAGCCAAATATTTGCTTTGCCTGCCACGCGGAATTTTTTTTTTTTTAAAGAAATATCGGCTAGTGCACCATTGTTAGGTTCCTTTTCTTTATTTTTGACTATCAACAAGAACCTAATCCTTTTAACAAAAAACAACAAGAACAAACAACTGACTAAAGAAAAGAAAAAGAGATGATAATATGGAATATTAAGGAGGATCGATCATCGATATATATATATATATATATATATATATATAGATGTCGGATCCTGACAATAATGATAAACATAAATGATCATTCAAGATCTAAACGATGTCGTTCAGATAGTTTGATACGTTTACCATTGTTAGTTTTTGAATCATCTATCAAGTGTTCAAGATAATCGCACATAATAGCTTGCTAAATGAAAAGTTTTTATATGAAATAAGTGCAAAAAGAAATTCAATTATAACAAATTCATTATTACTTGATTACTA